GGGGGAGAAAAAGATGCCATGGGAATCGGCATGCTAGAGGAGATGTGTTTTAATCTAAGTTGCTCGGACACGGGTGCGGATCTAGAGGTCGGATCCTTCGAGATGTAAATTCTAAGATTTGGGGATACGGGTGCGGGGATCCGGCTACAAATAAAATATAAAAATATCTCTAAATTATGAGAAATTTTGAGAAATACTTATGTATAGCTTGTAAAGTGTGGATGTCTTTTTTATTCTCAAGTTGTAGATAAGTAAAGGATTGATTTCCTAGATAATATATGCTATTTTCTTCTCTAGTTTTGGTTCTGATTTCGGGAATCAAATTGTATCTCGTCTCAAATTTTTTCGTCCGTTGTGGTCAAAGTACCAAAAATTGTTTGACCAGATCTGGTACGAATCCCATACTCACACCCATACTAGTGTCGTGTCGACACGGGTGCGGCACCTAAACTGTCGTGTCGGAGCAACTTAGGTTTTAATACAGTGTTTGGAGACGAGTTATGATTCAACTATATAAGAAGCCAGTGCGTAAGTATGTGAAAGTGTCTGATGTGGAGATATGCAAATTCTTGATTGTTAAATTGACTGAACTACTTGAGCTAGGTAAATCACATATACTCCAATGTAATGAAGTAATAGAACGGAAAAGTTGTGCCCTTTTAATTTATAATGAACCAGATTTAGTTATTTAATACAGTCAAGGGTAAGCTAACTTTTTCCTTTTTCTCACTTCAGTTTCCTTCTGTGTTATTTCCTCCTTGCTCATATACATGTTTTTTTCTTTTTCTTGTTTCAGGTGACATTCATGGGCAGTACAGTGACCTGTTGAGGCTTTTCGAATATGGTGGTTTTCCTCCGAAGGCTAACTACTTATTTTTAGGTGATTATGTAGATCGTGGCAGGCAGAGCTTGGAAACAATATGCCTCTTGCTTGCCTACAAGATTAAGTATCCTGAGAACTTTTTTCTGCTTAGAGGAAACCATGAATGTGCTTCAATAAATAGGATATATGGGTTCTATGACGAATGTAAGCGCCGGTTCAACGTGAAACTGTGGAAATCCTTTACGGACTGTTTCAATTGTCTTCCTGTGGCAGCACTTATTGATGAGAAGATACTATGCATGCATGGGGGTCTCTCGCCTGATCTTTCTAGCTTGGATCAGATAAGAAACTTACCACGTCCAACTTCCATCCCCGATACCGGTTTGCTTTGTGATTTACTTTGGTCAGATCCTGGTAAAGATGTGAAGGGGTGGGGGATGAACGATAGAGGAGTTTCATACACCTTTGGCCCTGATAAAGTTTCTGAGTTTTTGTCAAAGCATGACTTGGACCTTGTCTGTCGTGCCCATCAGGTAAAGGAACCCTGTTTTCTTTGTCCTGCTGTGCTTCTCCTCTGAGTTTATTGATTTGCATCTTTTTTTTTTTTGCAGGTCGTGGAAGATGGTTATGAATTCTTTGCTGAGAGGCAGCTTGTCACCATTTTTTCAGCGCCCAACTACTGTGGAGAGTTTGACAATGCCGGTGCTATGATGAGTGTTGATGAAAACTTGTTGTGCTCTTTCCAAATTCTTAAGCCAGCTGAGAAGAAAAATAAGTTTATGATGTGATCAAAGATGCTTCCTACTTTTACAGAGGTAACTCTCTTCCCTGTCCTTGTCATAATGACTGCTGACTTGAATATAAATGTTCTCTTGTTTAGTATTTACTCAATGATGTCTACACGTTCTAGTGGTGGGGAGAGGAGGTACCAGTTAAAATGCTTTTTAAAATCCATCTCTGCGACATTTGTATTTCAAGAGTTGCCACAATTCTAAGCCTATAACAATACTTGGAGTATTTCAGTGATTTTTCTGGGGGAGGAGATCTTTTTCAAACTTGAAAGGATGTAGTTGGATTATAAATATCAAAAGAATAGCCTTTATTTGAAAACATGCTTGATATCTAGTAAGCATCCAATTAACCAAATGTTGGTTTGGTATTCAGCACTAGCCAGAAATGAGTATTTCCTTCACGCTTATGGTAAAAAATTAATGGAAGTTTTAAGATTTTAAAGTTCTATAATGTGGATCAGTTGATTAGACAAATTAATTGGGCTGGCACAATGAATTGGTTGATTCAGTTTATATTAGACACTAAATTTCTGCTGTTTCGTTCTAGCTAGCTTCAGTTTATGTATTTTACTTCTTTTAAAACAGGTTTCTGGCTCTATATGTTTTTTAGCTGTCGAGTTCTTTCTCCTTTACTCATTTTGTTCCGTTTCCATTATGTTGTTCATTCATTCCTTGTATTCTCTTATCTGCTCCTCTTGTTTTTCCTTTCCTGGCCCAGTTTGTTTTGCCTCAGGTCGACCCTTTCCTCTAGCGCTAACATGTCCTTTTAACTCTTGCAGAGTAATTTGCTGTGAAGCAGAGGTCATGATATCGTCTGCCTTCAAAGGTTGTTGAAGGAGCAAAGACTGCCGTGCTTGGTGCTTATTCCAGTTAGTTTGTTACTGTGAACTGGGTATGAGCACCGGCAGGAAGGCATTGTAGAACCTCTATATTTGTTCTGGCACAAAACAGTCTAACATGTACTAAATATATTATTGAGAAATTTTATTTGCACTTGGATGGATAGAAGACTAGACATTTGTGTACGGAAACCAACATCTCTTTTGCCAAACTCCAGTAAGATGGGGACCTAGGGACAACTGAGAGATCGCGTATTAAGGTGCTGACACACATATTAGGTCTATTACGTTGATGTTTAAGATGCGAAGGAAATGTCTACTCTTTTGGTTGATCAAAATGATTTTAGATTCAGCTGCTGCTTGGCCTCAGGCAGTTGGGAAATTTTGTGGCCATAGTTTTGCTAACAGATAGTGCTTTCTCATTATAGTTCCATTCTTGTGCAACGGGGGGAGATGCTTCAATTCTATCGTATTTCTTTCTTTTTTAATCAGTTGATTTGTGCCCGGAAGAATATTAAAAATCCACCATGCTTCTTTTTATTTTCCCCATATCTCAATAAGCTTGTTCGAGTCGGTTATATGAATCTTCATATCCATTTCATCCCATTTGGATCTGGATCATCGCAGTACTCGATGATTTAGCTTGTCTAACATTAGTAGTTCCTTACGTATCCCTCTAACATATTAATCTCAAACAAACAAGATTTCGCTGTTAAAGTCTGATCCCTCCCAGAATATATTGAAGTGCGTGCAGTTGGCTGGCTGGTCATTTATTGCAAAACAGTGTGGACTTGGGCAATTCTCCTTACCTTCATTGGACCATGGCGGCTAGCCTTGTGCCCTCCTTCCCTCATTGCAAGATTGTGCCATCTAAGCAAAACTCTAGACCAACTTTCGATGTAGAAGTTCAAACCATCCCAATATCTGTTTCTGTAGTGTCATAACGAATCCAGATTATACGGCACTAGTTATGCAATATACGATCAACTATATGCCTACTTTAGTGTAAGATAATCTCGTAGGCCAACTGTATTAGCCTGTTTGGCCAAGTTTTTCCAATCCTAGAAGCATTTTTTTTTCCTTCAAAAAAAGTGTTTTTTTTTAAAGTTGAAGTGTTTGGCGAAACTTTTGGAAGAAAAAACGGGTGATAAACGCTCCATGCATAATATGAAAATGTAGGGAGATAAGGGGTCACTTTGGCGTATTCCCCTTGTTGGTGTGAAATACGGTGTTGGGTGGCCATTTAGTAGGATAGATATGGTAGTGTTACTGATGCAAGCAGTGGCAGAGCCACATACACCAAAGGGGTGTCAATTGACACCCCTTCACCGAAAAATTATACTGTATAGCTAGGTAATTTAAAAAAAAAATATATATATACTATACTATATAATGATACCCCTTGACTTCTTGATTAGTTTATTTCTTTATGTTTTGACTCTCCTTAATGAAAATCCTAGCTCCGCCACTGGATGCAAGACATAATCATGTTTATTAATTGAATTGGGAAGTTAAAGAAATGCAAAGTTTCTTTAATGAAACTTCATTTCATTTTATTAAAAACTTTTTCCAGATCTAGTTTCAGTAAGAAATTAGCTTGTTTACCTTTTTACGAAAGGGGTGTAGAATTTCTTGGACTATGATAGTATTGTCCGACGTGCGTCGCCGTTTTAAGAAAGCCGATTGTTCAGGCCTTATTATTTTTATTATAATAGGTTTGAATCTATTAACTATTATTTTAGTAATTATTTTATAGATAGTATTGCAAAGGCCAATTTGGCCGTTATTGAGTAATGTAGGATGGATGTTTGACCTTGGGGATGAGACACAGATAGGTCTTATTTATTTGTGATGGTATATGTTGATTAGTGAATACTTTATTACAAAAGGAGACGACGGAATGGGCAATTTGGGGCCAGTAGGTTTGATAGAAGTAAAGGTGTAAGCCGTCTGGCCCCCCGGAGCTTTGAGTGGTTGAAATGAGGTTACTGCCTGAAATATTTCCGTTGTGGTAATGGCACGAGTCAGATTGGATTGATCCGTAGTAGTGGAGTGTATTATCCTTTCGTATGGGTTACAAACCTTATCATTTTATATCAGTTGCAAAACTTTATGTGCTATATTAAAAAACGGAAAAGACATATCTCTTGATTAAACATTATAAATTACATTTCAGTTACAAACATTTTCATCTCCTCTAACTGCTCCTCTTCCGATCCTATAAATTCACCTTTGTTGGTGACTATTTTTGCGGATGGCCGATGTTCAACTATGTAGGATACAGTAATTTCTTCTATTTCATTAAGCTTTGATTTGCTGATTGAATTTGTCATCAACGTAATTTCTTTTTCTTTTCATTTACATAGTTCATTTGCTTTTTAGATTGGCATGTAGTTACATTGTAAAGTTTAACAATCTTTATAGAAGAAAAAAGGTTGTATTTTTGTTATTTGTATTTCTCTGGTTTTAGGAATGATTCAAATCTTGAGAGTTCCATTAGCACCATTGGGTTCTCATTGTCCCTAAATGTCTCATTTAGTAGTGTTTCAGGAGTATATGGATAACAATTGTCTTCTTTATATCTTGATAATTCAAACAATTGAACATAATAGGAAAACCATTAACTTTCATATTGTAGGAAAATCATTAGTTAGAAAAATTCAGGTTTTATTGTAGGAGACTTTGTTTTTCAGATTTATATAAATCTACTTGGTAATAAAAAATCTATTAACAGAAAAAGGGGTTAGGTTGGGTGAGGTTGTAGACTAGCAACTAGTAACCTTTGTTTTCTCTTTTTAAGCTTTCTCATTTCTCTCTTGCTTTCTTTTCTTGTGTCTTAGAATAGGGAAAAGCGATAAAAGTAGAAAGTTCCATTTTTTTAAGGAATTCTTTTAAAAATATGTACCTACTTAAATTAAAGAATGATATGTACGTAAATAAGTGTAGACACTTATACTATACAAAGAAATAATCCAAAGAATTAGTTATATGAGAAATAAATATAATATTTTAATAAAATAAAGATAGATTCTAAAAAATAATTAAAAATATTGAAATCAATGGAAACAATATTTTAGTAATTTTTCTCGAAACAAAATAAATTATCGATAACTAAAGGTCTCAAAAAAATTGCTAATATTTTTTTTTCTTATATTCAGATGATAGAAAAAAATGATCCTTCCATAATTAATAAAGTGACTCATACACCATTCTATGATAATAAAACTTTTTGTACAATTTACTTAACCAAATTCACTTTTGATATAATAAATGTGTAAAAAGTTTTATTTTTTAAAATACAGCTAAAGTTTTTATATGGTAATTTATTTATAAAAAGTTATTTTTAAATTAATATCTTTACAACTGCGCGAAGCACGGTCAATTCACTAGTTTTGATAATAATGGTGGATCATTTCATTGACTTGTGATTGTTCAAGAATCCAATTATCACATGTATCCTTGAGAGATGTTATGTCATTTCTTATCCTTCTTTGAAGAGTAGTGAGATGTTAAAATCGGGTGTTCGCATCTCCTTGTTCAAGCCAATTTATCCGCAATTTTAATCGCCAAAAGTCTTCTTCAACTCGTAGCAGTTCATTATAATTATTAATAAGATCGACTACCAGGTATTAAAGAAAGGTGCTTGTCGGGTAACTAGGGGAGGATTGAATACCAGAAATTCTGACTAATAAGTTTTTTTTTTCTTCCAAAAGTATTACCAAAAGTAGATTGATTCCATTCCTGAACGTCTTCTGTGAAATCTTTTATTGTTTGTAGTAAACCCTTATTAGGAGACCAGTTATGAGTAATTATGGAAGAAAATTTTGGATGTGAGATCCATATTATATCGAATCTAAGAAAATATTTCGGTGGAATGTGTGTTTTAATTTAATTAACAATGGACAATAATCGGAGTGTGTTCTAGGTAGATGTTGTACATTTTCTTCTGGAAATAAGTTGATCCAGTTATAATTTCAAACAAACCTATCCAATCGTTCTAATATCCTACTTGCTAGATAACGTTTGTTGGTCCAGGTATAGCGACTTTATTTGTAACCTAAGTTCAATAACTAACAATAATTAAAGCATTGAAGGAATATATCGCATCTATTATTGCTAATAGGGTTGCCTCCAAATTTCTCCGTTCCTCGTACTACTTCATTTAAATCCCCTCCAATTAACTAAGGCATGTTAATAGTGTCATGCAAGGTCATTAGGTTAGACCACAAATTTGAACGTGCATGTAAATCATTTTTTGCATATACTATTGAAAATAACCAAGTAGTAGGGTTTGGTGGTACCTGGACTATGGAATGAAATTGCTTGAGATATGAACGCAATTTGATCTAGTTGTAAGAGATCCTCATGCCATGGTAATGCAATACCTCCGGACTGTCCTTCTGCCGGTACATGTACCATGTTAGTAAAACCAAATTCTTCTTTCAAGTGATTATGGCTTTGTAGATGAGTTTCCAATAGTGCCACGAGTGCAGGCTGATGGTAATTGAGTAGAGAGCAAATATTTCTCCTGAAAGCTAGTGATTGTGCTGCTTTGCAATTCCACATGATGAACTGTATTTGTTTACTGTTGGAGTGTGGTGGTGTCAGGTTCTAAGCCCCCTCCACTTGTGTTGCCGTCATTTATGTCATTGATGGAATCATCACTATCCTATATTTTCACGTCTCTTGGTTGTTGGTTGGTCGAATATTTAGGGAATAACTTCTTAGTTCCTTGGGGTAAATTATTACTATTTTTCTCGTATACTGCTCTTTGAGGATGTAGGATTTTTTGTCGTTAAGTAGGCATAGTATTGGCCTTGTTTCCCTTATGTCCGCCATTGTTGCTGCAACTTCGAGTTGTTCTATTTCGTCGAGTTCGTTGGGATTGCCCTGAGGTTGGGGTATTGGACTCATTGGTGGAGTTACTGGTTGGTACGGTGATGCTTGTGCCTGTAGTGGTGTTGGAATAGTGAGTATCAACATGGGTTGTATTCATAGAACTATGGAGTGATGTGGCAGTTGGGGTGGGTAAAAGGGTAGTTATGTAGGTTGTGGTAGTGAGTGGAAGGTGTTGTATTGGTGACTGGTCTCCTGTTAATGATACAATGGTGGTAGTGGTGTGTGGTAAGGGTAGTTGTGTAATATCGAAGGTGGTACATGGCCCATAAATACTAATTGTAAAGGTCTACCCCATCCTCAGTCCCTCCGTCACTATTTGCGTGATGTCTACTAGGATTTGGATCATGATTATCACGTCCTGGCCTTCTATCTCCATTGTGAAGGTCAATGCGTGCTCCTGAAGGCTCATTTCCAGCCATGATTGAGGGTAAGTATGTACTGGGGTACTGAGAGATGTATATTGGTGCGGGTGTTGTGGAGGTTGGTTCGATGATTGCATGGTGAATGTGTTCAAGATGATGGG